CCAGTAGGCATACGAAAAAGTTGTAGGATCGTTTTAGAATTAGGGTCACGATCTTCGAAAAGGAATCGAGTTATGTCCTTGGTATAGCAAAGAGAGGAGGATTCGTTTGAGAAACGCTGAGGAAGCAAAGAGGGCTAACGTTCTTCTCTCTCTCTCTCTTACTCTCTGTCTTTCTTCTCGCAACCTGTCGAGAGCTTGCGAGAGTCTGGGTACTGGATAGGTGCTTGCAAAACCCGATGGGCACGCCAAACGAATCCAAGCAGCCTGTTGGTGTTTCTGTTACCCGTTGCAGTTGCTTTTGCTGTTGGTGCAGTTGCAAAACGGGTGTCCGTGAGTGTAACTCGCTTAAGAGTGAAGAAACAAGCGATTCGTGGCGCGCGTTTCGCATGGCCAAGAGGGTTCAGTGTACCGAGCCAAGGCCACGGGGCAGGGCACCGCCCCACTGAACCAATTGTGCCACTTTTATACTTCTCGCCTCATTTTCGCGGCCTTTTATTACTCATAAAACTGAGAGACCGTTTCTTTCACTACCAACACTTTCTATTTCCTTTAAACTTCAGCTTTTTCCTCTTTTTTTTATTTTATTTTATTTATTTTTAAATTATTTTTGTTTTCTTTTTTTGTTTTAACATACATGTGTTATAGTTCGTACATTGGATTCTATCTTTGTAAAAAAAAGAACTAGAAGTGTTATCTTGAAGTATACAAGTTGTCTAGAAATATTCAGTAACGTTACAGGTAGGTACGAGTGACATACGATATGTACACACATACCTACATACGTGGATGCGTTTGAAGGGCACCAAGCCACGGTCTGACTCATCGATGGTTACGACGACGAATCGAGGGGAATCAATGTCAGCCAATTTTGCTAGTATCGATCTTTGTTCTTGCCCTATGTGTTGTTCAATCATCCCTTCCTTCGTCACATTTGGTGTCATACTTTTAAATGTATTTGAAATTGCAATCATTTCATATATTACATTGATCATTAAAATTTTTTTATTTGACAATAATAACCAAATGTATCATAAATTTATCCATATGTTTCAATAATTATGAACTTTAAAGCAATTTCCTAATTATAGGAAAACATCTGTTGTCTCCAGTCCTCATATTCAGAAAAAAAAATGAAAAAAATAGTGAACCAAAGATTATATCTATTGACTCCATAAAATAATCGACACATAAGCCATTAAGTCTCCCCCCTAAGAGGGGTATCACGTGAAAACGTGTCAGAACTGTTTTATAAAAAAAAGGGGTTGTTCGTCAAGCGTAAACTTAAAACTAACTAGAGGAGTCAGTCCAACAGCAGTTTAAAACCAAGGAAGAAGAAGAAGAAGGCATTTGCGAACCCCGGGAAATGCGTTTGAGTTTGGGAACCCCCAGACTGGAGGGGATTGACCCAGACACCCCCTCCAACTTGACGAGAATCTCCTCCCTTCCACTGTGAAAGAGCGTGCACAGTTCTCCCCTCTAAAATCCCCAAGAGCCGACGTCTCGACTGGAGGGGGTGCGAAAAACCCTCTCTCCCTCTCTCTCTCTCTCTCTCTCTCTCTCTCTTTCTCTCTCTCCCTCTTTCTCCCCTTTCATTTCAGGCCGCTTGATAAAACGTTGCACCGCCCACGCAGGATTCACCCAACGTCCGTGTTATATTCCCTCATCGATTTGTTTGCAACTGGACACGGTTCTATTCATCTTTTAAGAAGACTCTGCAATCTTCTTTTATTCTTTTTCTCTTCCTTTTTTTTTCTTCTTTTGAATGTATTCAATACTATATACTCCTTTCGTGTCAATTAATAATAATAATTATTTCTGGTGTTGATTATTAGTTGATTGATAAACGTACACATGAAAAATATCAACCCCAATTAGATTTGTTAGGTTACGTGAACTTATTGCAAGTGTGCAACCCCTTTCTATTGATGATCGATCATTGATTTCAATTTGACAATTTCTTTTTCTTTTTTTTATTAACCAGCATCCAACGTTCACATGGTGTGAACTAAACAACACCCCAAATAAAAAGATTTCTTTAAAATAACATACCCCATTAATTCGTTGTACAGTATTTTTTGTCAACAAAAGAAAAGAAAATATTGTTGACATTTGAACAATTTTATGTCATTTTTCTTCTCAACAATTTCTTGCAAAAAAAAAAAAAAGAAAAAGAACAAAAAAAAAAAGAAATAAAAGACCTATATAATCGTCTGGACAAAATGTTTTCAAAGTACCCAACCTACCAACTGGTAGGGGTTGCAAATCCCCTTTCTCTTCCCTTTCAACCCTAAAGAAGAAGAAGGTAAAGCGAACAGACGGAGGAAGCAACGGTGAAAAAGGGGTGACCTAGACGACACCCCTCCCCCCTTTCCCTTTACGCGACTTGTTTGCAAATGGTTCAGTTAGCCCATTGGATAAGAATCGTAAGTAGGTATCGTAATCGTTCTAGTAACTAGACATATCGAAAACCGATCAGGATTGTTTTTCTATGCCAAGGTTGTACAATCTAATCGATCAATTGAACATTTTTCTCATTGACAATAAATTTTTTTTTAATGATTTTTTTTATTGATAAATGAACAAAACTATGTGTCAAGAAATTTTTCATTTATTTGATATTTGTTTTATTCTTTGTTTATTTTCAAATTTAATAAAAGAAAATTAACAAACTATAATTTTATTCTTTGTTAAGTATCTACGTAGTGTAAAAAATACGTAAAATAATATAAATAAATTATTATTAAATTATTAATTTTTTAATTAAATTAATAATATTAATTTATAAGAATAACGTTTGATGAAAATAAATTATTAACAAATTATTAAATACAATTTTAAAAATAAATTATTAAATAAGTTGAAAAATAAATTATTAAATAATTTCCAAAATAAATTATTAAATAATTTCCAAAATAAATTAGTAAATATAATTTTAAAAATAAATTATTAAATAAGTTGAAAAATAAATAATTAAATAATTTATCCAAAATAAATTATTAAATAAATTATTAAATAAATTATTTAAAAAAAGAATAATTATCAAAATAGAATGATTAAAAATCTGATTTTGTACAAAATAAATTTAATTGATTTGTTGATGCACAATTTTGTGATAAAAATAAAGTGTTTAAATAAAACATTGTTATTGTATTTTGTGTATGAGTAGTAGAAAGGAAGATAGGAAGAAAGAAAGGCAGGAAGGAAGAAAGGAAGATAGGAAGGAAGGGCGGATGAGTATGTTGGGAGGGATAGGAGGATGGAAAGTGGGATAGAGGGCGGCCATGGTGTTGCTGACCCGACGACCGCTCTAACCTTCCAACCCAACACCCCGCATCCCCCGAGTGCCACCATCAACATTCCGTTCTCTATTTCCAACTTAACTCCTAGACCAATAGAAGACGACTTTTCAATACCACAACTTTACTGCTTTATCAACATTCCAAATATCATCCATATCATTTCTTTCTTTTTCTTTTTTTTTTTTTTTCTTTTTTTATTCAACCATAGACTTATTCCAATTTTTCATCATTTGTCATAAACATTGATTTTATTTTAGATTTTGTTTGTGTTGTATGTTTCGAGAAGTCAAACAAAGAAACTTGGGAAGAAAAGGTAATTGAATTATTTCATAATGATTAATATTAACAATTAATATTATTTTAAATATTACCTTACACATTTTCTCTTTTTCCCTCTCTCTCTCTTTCTCTCTCGTTTGTAATTTATTTTAATTTCATCTCGTGCATTGCATCACGCACAAGTGGAGAATAATTTTTTTGCTTTTTTTTCTTTTTTTTCTTTTTTAATTAAACATTGACGTTTTTAAATAAAATAAAATTCTCCCTGGTACAATCGTACTCGACGATAAATTGCCTATAAATATTCGAAAAGGGGTAGTGTGTGGTAATGGAAGCCGGGGATGGGTGTAGAACTTGAATTGATATATTTCAAATTAATCCGTTCAACTATTTAATTAAATAAACGTGTAATATGTTTGTTAATACATAATTTGTGCACATAATCGAAGCATATTCGTGTACGTATTTGTAGAAATAAAATAATTTGTTAATTGAAGTATAGGAAAATTTCAAAAAAAAAAAAAAGAAAAAATTTAACAAATGCACGAATAAGTTTTTTTTTTTTTTTTTTTAATTTATATAGTAGTAGTAGTAGTTCTTTGTATGGTTCAATTTAGAAAAGTAGAGGAGGTTTAAAATGTCTTTTTTATTTTTTTTCTTCTTCTTTTTTTTTTTTGTCGACAAAAGTGGACGTGGCTTACAATGGAAATCGTTGGATGCGGCACGCAACAACCCTCGTAGAGTGCAGGTCGTTAAAAATAGGCTACCGATGCGCACGCGTCTCAACGACAAGGTCACACTACGTCACCCTACGCGTGGGTCAGAACCCTTGATTATATCTTAACACTAGTTTCACTATAATCTTATTCTTTTGATTTATCTACTATCGAAGAAATGTTTCAATGATTTCACATATTATCGGTACAAGAGTATCATTAGAAATTTATCTTCGAGATAAATATACGTGTTATTTAAATAATTTGTCATGTCAAAATGACAATCATAATCATCATTTTCATTCTACATATTTAATTATTACAAATTCTAATAGAATAAACAAAGAAAATTACAAAAAATAAATCTTCCTCCCTTAATTTTACGTTCGAATGAAGATAAGAAAAGAAAAAGAAACCGAACGTAATAGCATCTTTCGTTAGGATAACAAAGTTTTTCATTAAATTTATTATGAAGATATCTACCTTACCGATAATACGTATTTATTTATCCGTCGATAAAAAAAAAATAAATCCACTTTTACCATCGTAGATAATTTATCGACGAAAATAATATCGTACTAATTGTTAAATATTGTTAAAAAGAAAGTTTCGTTTAATTGCCGCTAGGTGCGCTCGTGTAATACTGAAAAATGATTGCCATGTTGCTCACCTAAAAGCCACGAGCTAGCAGCAGCATCAACTTACACCATCCGCCATATTGTGTTACTCTCGCGAAGTGGCAAGGAAAAACATTGTGATCACGTGGCGAAAATTTTTCCTTTAACAAATAAACGAACGTTCACGGAAGAATCGAAGAATCTTTACGAAACGTTCGATTAACATTTGTCCTTGATCATATTGTCGTGAAAAATTCAATTCTAACGTTAATATCCCTACGGGAAGAATTTTAATAAGAGAGAAAGAAAAAGAACAAAAGTGTGGAAAAAAGAAAGAAGACCGGTAAGTATAGTAGTATTATATCGGCGTTAGTTGAAAAGAGATGTAGATAGAAAGGGAATGGGGGAACGTTGAAAGAGTGAGAGAGACAGAAATAGAGAAATCGTATGCTGCCACGCGGGTTCGAAACTTATCGTGTCCGGTATTATAACCGTCGTTGTTATAATTCACTTTATATTCGTATATCAATATAAAAGTTGACAATTTTTCTCTTCATATCATATGTTTCACGATTCATTTGTCATGTTTAATTGTTCATTTTTAATTATTTCATAGTCATCAAAAAAAAAAAAAAAAGGAATACGGTTACCGTTCCGGCCGGAGGCATGAGCTTTTATCTATATATATATATCTCTCTCTCTCACTCATTTATCCTTTCTCTTTCTTTCTTTCATTTCTCAATATGGATACTAGTAAACTATTTTCTAATATATATATATATATTACGATTTATCGAATAAATTTGTATCATTTTTCAAAATAATTATTTTGTAGCATTAATCTGATTGGCTGATTGATTTTGTTTGTTGTGTTGTAATGTTTTTGTCTAGCTTTGAAAAAAAAAAAAGATTTTATTTCTATTTATATATATATATATATATATATAATGTATGTAAATAAGAGGTTAGAATTATCATATATAAGAATAAGAAGAAGATGATGATGAAGATGGTGTTCTATAATGTGAAACTATAATAATAGATAGTACGGTATGTATAAGTTGTAAGTGAACGACATCTGGAAATAGCGTGTGTATCCGTAGAACGTTCTATGGCCTGCTGTTAAATTCCCTTCCCTTTCCCTTCTCTCGTATCTTGATTCGTGGTAATTTGATTGTATGTGTGAAACAATTCACCAACCACCACCACTACCACCACCACTACTACAACCACCGACACTACTAACCACACTACCAAATACTTGGACATAACTTGTACTATTCTTACAATAACAATTTGGTACAACAACATTGCGTTGGAAGAACCCAAATTACCTTTATGGTCTTGAAACCTTATCTTTTTTGATACCATTTTTTTGGTTATTGGACCAATAGATATGCATATAAGAAAAAAAAAAAAAAAAGGTATTTTTTGTTATAACAATATTATTAATATAAAACAAAACAAAATAATTAATTGTTAGTAATAATTGTTTTTTTTTTTTTATGATTTTACGAATGTTTTCCCTTTTTTACAGATTTGCAAAAATATGGTTTTTTAATTGGAAGGAGTAGGAAGAGGAGGAGGAGTAGGAGTAGGAGGGTGGAAAAGAAAATTAAATTTGTTTCAATACTTTTGTTTTGCTTACCCTATTAATTAATCCCCCCCCCCTCCATTAAAATGAACAAATTTAAATCTTAACAAATAAATATTTTCTATTTAATAATACGTACGTAATCGTAGTATGCATGTTTTTTCGTTTTATCTACGACGTATTATTTCTTTTCTCAAATTTCGTCGCAATAATACATTTTACAATTTTATGTTAAACCATTAATATTTATTTGTTTGTAGTTTGTTAAATCATCGACACGAATAACTCATTGTAAATATTGTTTGTTTCTTTATTTTTGCATATATATAAATTTATTTTTTTTGCTTTTTTACCGCTAGGTAATAAAGACAAGAAAAATAAAAATGGCGTCGTACAATATGGCGAAAACGTTTGCTTGCATTAGAGTCATGCGCGAATATGTTTATTAATTATAAATAATATAACAAACCGAAAGGAGGATTGATTCGTCTTATCGACAGGATACAGGGACCAGTTTTAGATTTTTCAAACGGTACTCCAGTTTTTTTTTGTTCTTGTTGTTGTCTTTCTTTCATTTTGTTTTCTTTTTATTTTCTTCGGTCTCCTCCCTTCTCTCGTATAACGGGTGTCTCTTTCAATGTATTCCAAGATTAAAGATAAATCTTCCTTGAATTATATTATACGATGTTTGATTCATCATTGCAACGACAAATCAATTGATTTTTATTTAATTATTTTATTTAATAATTAATACAAATTACTAAACAATAGTTAACAAATACTAATAGTTAAACAATTACTAAACAATAAAATAACAATATAAATTATATATTTATTATATAATTATTTATAATTATATTTATATTTAATTAATTTATTTATATTATTATTTATAATTATATTAATAATTAATTATATATTATATAAATTATATAATATATATTATGTATAATAA